TGATTCCTCATCCCTGGCTCATTGTTCGGGAACTTAGATCAGTACCACTGCAGCAAAGATTCCCAATGAGCTGAAACAAAACAAAACATGCATTCACAGGAGCATTGCTGTTCAAGAGCATGCATTTCCCAGTTAAAATGAAGGTCAGTCATAAATTACATCTCTGATTCCCTCAGGATTTCTCTCTCTTGCTCTGTTTTGGAAGTTTAAGACCCCTTTGATATTTGAGCAAGGCCTTCCCCTTTGCACATCTGATCTTCATTATGGTTTATGGCAATGGTAATTCTTTACCTCCCCAAGGCAGCAATTTTGAGAAGAGAGAGGGAAAGCAAGTACAGTATGATTGTTTAGGAGAGGCACACTGCATAATGTTTTAAACATTTCTCTGTTTTATAGCTGTGTCTCTTCCCCACAGATGACCCTTGCAAACAGCAGCACTAATACTGAGCTCTTCCTATAGGAATGTCCCATGTCCATCAGTGAAATCACTGCGTCTGGAAGCAGAAGAAATCCAGTTGCATATTTATGTATTGAAACATGGACTTCTGAAAAATAAAGTTGTGGTTTGGATAGATTGCTGTATGCTTTCAATTTCCCGGTGAACACAGAGTAATCCGGTATCAATAAGAATGAAACTTTTTCTTCTGGCTGTAAAGCGTGGTGGGCAGGTCTCAGGGGTGTCTCTCCTCACCTCACTCCCATCTTACAAAATGAAGGGGAGAGTTCTTGCTCAGTTTCTGGAATGCAACTTTGTAAAAGCAGGGTCAATCAGCTTTGTGCCAGTTAGAATTGCCAATCTGCTAAACCAAAAATACACTGAGGCTTTCCATGAAGGAATGGTATGGGTGAAACTGGGTATTGTACTTCTTTTCCATGTATGCAAAAGACAGAGGCAAATGTTCCAGCTAACAATACGTTGAGAGCATTTGAGACAATGTGAAGGTGGCAGAAAATGTTGGATGCCAATTTGTTTTTTCCTATGGGTGGTATGAGGTAATTTGTTACAGGCAATTGCAATTAAAATAGGATTTTTCATTCTGTTTGTAATATATACTTCATTCTTCTATTCTTTTCACTTCTCTGTCTTGGTTATACTGTGAGCTTCTCGGGTTTGTTGAGCCTTTTCACAGAGTTTGCAGTGTGGAGGGCTATTGAATATGAATAACTGCTCTTGAAACTCTGACACCATCAATCTGCTCCCAAACAAAAAGTATTCTTATAGACTTGGGGGGTGATTTACAAAATTATTTAATTGCCTTTCAGGCACTACAAATGACATTCTGTTAGCAAAGACAAGTGATGGATATGGTTTCTTTTGTAAAGGTGACCACAAATACTGCACTGGGAAGTGCAGGCTGCTGGCAACTTTTACAAGTTTGGTGTTTGATTCTGGTGCCTGGCAGAAACATAACAGGCAGAATTGCCAATAATCTTTTTTGCTTGCTTGTTTGATTATATAATAAATTTTTAAAAGCTTAAATGTGTTTTTAAATGTCTACGTGCATATTAAATGGGTCTTCCAGAGTGTGGTAGAACTTTCCAAGTACACACTATATTTTGCCATGAAGATACCAAGGAAATGTGATGCACAAAGGATACCTGTAACAATTTCCCTGAAAGAAGGAAATTTCCTAACTCCTCATACATAAGCCTTCCCTAAAAGTAATGCAAAACTTCTGCAGCACAGGGGAGGAACAAAGTTGTACCAGCTCTCACTGTTCCAGTGACACAACGAACCTGCTCAAGGAGCATTTTATAAGCCAAAGTTTCCACTTAGCCAATGCTAAGGAAGTGTTCAACGTGGGATTTTTCCCTTCCTTTGTTATTTCAATTACACTTTCAGTATTAACTTGGAACGTACAACTTGCGAAGAATACCGTGTGATGGAAAAAAGCATTTATTGCATTTATCTGTACATTTTCACTAAGATGCAAAGGTTGAAGAGTTGGGGGCCCTCCAGTCTGACTGGGTAGCCAAGGATGAGAGTGTGAGGGAGTGGGGAGGCGCCAGCAGCTGGGTGGGTGCCCAGCCTCGAGTGGTGAACACTGCAGGAGAGCTCTCCTTCCCTGTGTCATTCTCTAATAAATCAGCTTAATTATCTGAATGAAGAGAGCTGCGTCCCTCTGCTGCAAACCCTGCTGGTTTACAGAGAGAGGGAAGTAAATAAAAGGAACAACGTTGGCTGCTGCTGCGGGAGGGACACAGGGAAGAAGAACAATAGTCTTGACTTTCCTCCCCGCCACCACCCCGTTGTTGTTCAGAGGGAAGAAGTGGGATGGCTTCATGCACACCCCTGGAGTTATTCCAGATCAGAACTGAAATCAGATGCTGGGCTCGTCAGCATCTGCTGAAGGAAAAAGCAAGTAAAACAGAGGGCAGAGATGTGTTGTTTTTAAGGCTCTAAGAGAATGTTGCTAAGGAAAGAATGGGATACAAGGCTTTGCAATGGCTGTCTGAGCAACTAACAGCTATAAATACCAACCTGAGCTCCAATAGCAGGATCATCTTAGCTTTATGCCTTTGGATTTTTTTAGAGTAAGAAGGTAAATTTTAGTTTTTGAGTTAAAACTCTACAAATTTGTCTCTTAAAAGATGTATTTTGGTTCCTTTTCTTGCTCTGTGTTAGTTTAAGTCTTCTTGCAATTGGGAAAATTAGGAACTTGTTCTTCTGTAATGAAATCTTAGATTCTTATTTACTACACAAATCCAGGAGATGAAGCTTTAAACAAACCACAAACTACCATGAGATTTATTATAAAAATACGAGAGCCAAAATTATGTGCAGCCCTACTCATTGTTTTCTATATTTTTGTCATGTTCCCTCTTATTGTCCCCTCTCTGTGATGACTGGAACAAATCATTCAGGTCTAAATCGCGTATGATACCCACAAAGCCTCCTTGCTATTGTGTGGGCCAAATTAAAAGCATTTGTTGAGAATAATTGTGGAATGGCATCAAAATTCATCTTAATTTTGCTGAGGATTTAATTATTGTTATTGTGATATTCTTCATGTTAGATAGTAAATGTAAATGTTTTAGTAAAAACCACTCGAAAAATTGACAATTCTGGCAGATTTTGTGATGCTCTCAGGAAAATTCTTCTGGATGTCCTCTCTTTTTCAGCGTCACTTTTACTAAAATGTCTTCATCCTGCCCTTTATACAGCATACTTACTTCTAATCTTTAGGTCAAGTTTGAATAATTATGCCATTTCTAAATCCCATCTTCAGTCTCCAGCTAGATGTTGTGAACATATTTTTGGCCTTTCAGACTCCAAACAAAGCTCCATAAATATTAGAAAACCCTTCTGTTTAGTCATCTTCCCATTTACCTTTCCTATATTCATTTCCATGAGCTAAATATATAGTGAGGTTAGGAGATCCCCTAGACCCTCTTTCAGCCCCGAAAGTGCTTGTTCCTCCAACATTTCTGATTCTAGGGAACCATGCCAGGCTGCTATTTATTCTGGCAGAGGAGAGGCTGTGTACTGCTGCTGTATAACCTCTCTTCCAGGAGCCAGCAACCTTCCCTTCCCCTGCCATCCTGCAGGGCTTGCAGCTTCTGCTGGCCTGGGAGCTCCAGATCTGAGTGCCCAAACCAGGCTTTGCTCCAGGACACCTGCAGATCACATTGGGGCTGGGCGGGAAGAAGCTTCCCTGACACATCTGAGTAACACATAGCAACTGTGGAAAGCTGGGTGAAGTTACTAAAGACAGTAAGAGAGGAATTTAAATAATCATGTAAAGAAAGTGAATTGTGTGTTACAGCACCCATAATCATGGATTACAAGAGCGCATTTCTTAAAGCCATCATAATTGTACCTTATTTGATTGAAGTATAACATGGGGGCAAAGTTTTCAACAGAACTTTGACCATTACCAGCTTCTAGCATTCAAAAAGACATACATCAGGCCAAGCACAAAGTGTGAGAATATCAAGTCATGGAAAAGATCTAGAATTATTTATATTTCCATTTCTGAGCCTTTCATGCTTTTGTGTTTTAAACCTTTGCTTTATACGGAACAGAAATAGAACTTCAAAGGGGGGGAAGAAGAACAAAGAAAATGCCTTGATTTCAGGAGCCAGGCCTTTGAGAAATGCATCAAGAATCCTGAACCTTGAAAGACCAGAGCTTTAGCAAGCAGAGCACAAGACCCATTAACTTTCAATAAGTCTTGTGGTATAAAATCTTCTTGGGCACTTATTACATTCTTAGTATTAACTCAAAACTTATTCCAGAATTTTAAAATTAGTTTTGTTACCTTCTTCACTACCATACAGGACTCAGCACTAGAATCAGAAATTACAGATACGGAAATTCAAAACTTTGAAATCCAGTAACACTACACAACTACTTTGGTTGGTATTAGGGGCTTTGCTCATGCTAATGAGATGATTTTAACTACAAATTAAATCATAACTTCGTGATGTAACAATCCCAATGTAGCAGAGGTAGCATCAAGTAGCTTGAGCAACATATGCATACACACATACATTTACTTTTATTTATACTTCACACAGAGTAGAAACAGAGAAGTGACTCCCAAATCCTTCTGGCTGCCTCAGTGTGAGCCTGGTTGGGGTGTTTTTGTACAGCATGCATTGCCATCATTTATTTAATCACCTGGTCTCTCCCAGCACCCAGAACACGGACCCTTGTCCCACAGTCCTTGCAAAACCGTCTGGCTTCTTCATGTGTGGTGGGAATGACAGGCTTGGACACTGGGCTGTGCTCCAAGGGTCGGGGATCTGAACAGGTACTGCAATTAGAACCTCTCCTGGATGAGATTTTACAGGAAAAGTACTGTTAGCCAAAACAAACGATTCTCGATACCTCTAAAACATTTGGCTATGGTTTCCCACCAAACAACCAAACACAGAAGTTATTTAAAACAAAAATGTTCATGCAAGGCAATATGGGAAATTTTAATTGAAGTCCACAGAAGTCACATTATACCTCCTGTCTGCTCACTCCTGACTTCAACACCTGAAACTATAAAATACATCTCAGCACAAAGTTAAAAGGGTATTCTTAATGTCCAAGAACCAAGCTTCACTCCAGCTACATCTGTGTAATAATGAATGGCATACTAAGCCAGGGGAAAGGACTTTTAACTAACAGTTACAGACAAATTTCATACCTATATAAGCACCAATATGCACTGCTTTATTAGGCTTATCTAAAATAATGTACTTTAAACTGAACAGGTCTGAAAAAAAAAAAATCCATGTTTTGGACAGGTAGCACATGCAACCAAGAAACTGCACAGAGGAGTGCAACTACTGGAAGAATAATTGGTCTGCAATGACAAGCAAATGCAGCATTTTGTTGTTTTTCCTTCACCTGCAATGGCTGCCAGCTTTGAGAATTTGCGTGATGGAATTTTTTCTGAAGGAAAAATAGAGCTCCCACAGGGCAGCTTTAGCTTTTCTTGGAGCAAATTGTCCCATTTATTATTCTTCACACCTTTAAAGAGAAATAAAATTCTTTCTCTACTCAGCTTGGTAATGACATAGGAGGGAACCAATTTAAAAAAAAAAAAAAAAAAAAAAAAAAAAGAGGAAAAAAAAAAAAAGCCCTCTCACTTGTTTCTTCTGCAAGCAGCTCCACTCAATTCAAACTAAGGCCAGCAATTTTGTCCTTTTGTGTTTTTCCTCCTCTGATGGAGGCCAGTACCAGACACTTCTCTGCCCCAGGTTCTTTCACTACATTATCAGAAGTTTGCCCTTTCTTTGTCAGAGACTAAATGATGCGTGCTAATTAAACAAAATACAATTTGTCTGGTCTGGAGGAGCCAGTTTGTCACCAAGACTTTGCTATCAGTAAATAAAAATAGAAAGCTTTATGCAAATCAACAGGATTATAGCCAGTGTGGAAATAACTGAGCTACTGTCCTCTTTCAGAAGCTGTTTGCATTCAGTCACCCCAGACAGCAAGAAAACCAATTGTTCCTTATAAACGTTATAAAAGTCTGCGCAGACACTGTTGGTACCGAGATTTCACAGCATGAAGACTTTTAATTGCCTCTCCGTCCTCTCCATAGATGAAGGCATCTGGAACGTTTATCTCTAGCGCACCTTACTGGGGAATATATTAATTAGTAAAATAGTGCAGGACTGCAAAGAAAACTGCTGAATACATATGATGTCTTGAGATAACTTTTTACAAGTAGCCTTACTGTGAGAATACTCCACTCTATCTTAGCATGTGTTTATTATTTTGCAATACAGGTCGTATTCAGAGCTTTGAAGAACTACATAGCTGACCTTTAAAGGCTTCCTCCATGAGACCACTAGTCTGCAAGCTTCAATATTATATTTCTTTTTCCTCTTTTTAATTTCAAGTTACAGTATTTTCTCAAACACAATGCAATCGTTTCTGGAAAAAACTCAAGTAACTCTGTGCATAGCCTAATACTAATTAAACTAAAGCATCCCATACAGACCTCCTTTACTTACGGAAGACTATAAACAAAGCCTGCATTTGCTGAGACAAGGATATTCTCATCAACAAACATAACAAACCTCTGTTCTTTAATCTCCACAGAGTATCAGGAATGTCACACTCCATCCATCCATCACTTCAACCTGAAAGTCTTTTTAGGATGGGTTTTTCATAGGATGAAACTCCTCTCAGATCAGGTGTCTGTTGTTTCTCCACCATATAATATTCTTACACTGTCATAATTTTTGTGACACTATCAAACTGAATGAAAGTTGTTTATCTTTGCAAATAATTTTTCCAAGTGTGCCAGAATATGTCTGGAGAATATGTGGATAATATGAAGATACTGAAAGTATCTCCAACCCACCACATGGCAGAACAGTGTGTTTCTGGTCAGCAGCTTGGGATAACTAAAAACATGGTAAGCAAAGGGCCAGAGGATAGGGCTACAAGGGTTCACATAGTAGCAAGAAAGCAGGGGGACAGCTACTGAAAGCAGAGGATACACAACCTAATGTAAGTTGTTAATGACCACCCTATTTAAATTGTCCTTTTTAAAGGCAGACAGTACTGAAATACTAGTTTCTATCAAGAACATTCCATAGTAAACATTTTAATATTTACTATATTTATATATTTTTTTAAAATGTGTATATATATTTCTTATGATACATGAAATAAAAAAATACTGCTGGCAGGTGTCACCTATCCAAGATTAAAGTAGTTTTTAATCTGAATTAATAGAGCTAACTTATTTTCCTTATAGAAAAGCTCTATATCCAGCCATATCTCTACAGTTCCTGACTTGACATGCTACTTCAATTTCATTAACCAAAAACAAGCTGTGGTGGAATATGGTTGTCACACAGCCTATTGCTGTTCTATGTGGTCAGAATGCTGTTATATGGTCTATATGCTGTTACAGATGGACTAGAATTCAGGTCCTTCATTGTATTTAAACAACAAGGAGTCTCAATGTCTAAAAAACCCTTCAGGTGTGTTGGTACAAACACCTGTTGCTCTTATGCTGACTAGCATAAGGTAGTAAGCCTGGTAAAATGGGACAGAACAACTGAGTCTGTAAAAACAAGCTATCTGAACAAGGTTAGGCTTGTAAAATTAGCAACTATCACTAGAAAATCTTTCTGTTCCTCTGACCCATCTACTACAGTCAGCTCCCAAACACCTGTGAGTAGGGGCTTGGAGAGAGCAGGTCTAGAAAGTGAGAGCAGCTGCTCTGTAGCTGGGATGCTTTGTCATGTTGGATATATCTATGGGGAAATGAGTAACACTTTTAACATCATCATGACACTGCATGTGATGTGAAGTAGTAATAGCAAAAAAGTACGCATCTAGTCAGTTATGTCTATCCCTTCCCCCAACACACAGGTTGAGAACGCATTATCAGGTTGGTTTATGTCAAACAGGATGTGAATCCCTGGGAAACAGTCCAAGTCAGAGCATTCAGCTGAGGCTGAAAAAGCAAAGCCGCCATTCTCAGATCTGTCCCTGACTTGGGGCAGATTACTACTGAGTGTCACTGCCTATCAAGCAGAATAAAGATATTAACATTCTCTGTAAGGTACTTTGTTATGTATTGATTGGAAGCACTTGTTTATATATCCCATATAAATATATATATGTATATACTTGGCATTTTAAAACACTTTTAAAAATAAAAACAGGACAGCATAAAACCAAATCTTGTTTCAGTTGAATTGCAGCTGTACAGGTAGTTTCTTTCTGACATTCCCTAAGAAAACCCATATATTCACAGGCACAACATGAATGTATGTGGCAGAGTGCCACAGGAGGCCTCAATGGAATACTTCATTAAAAAAACAAACAAAAAAACCGAAAGTACATTCCAAATTGAACAAGGAACACTTGTTGCAAGTCATTTAAACTACTAAGGAGAGCCACTAAACTTGCAGCTTGACTGAAGGATTAGACAGCATTTGACCAGGAACTTGGTGTACTACACAGCAAATACAAACCACTTACAGGCTCACAGGCTTCAGCGGAACTTGGGCATCTGTATTTTTCCCTTGGCCGTGGGTTTTTGAACGACTTGAATCTAAAGCAAGAACAATTTAGGCTTCAGAGAAAAGCTCCTAACGGGAACAGGGATTTTAAATACATATCCTTCTCATGGAGTCATATCTAATGTTGCATGTCACTAAAAGACAGTTATAATTCCCTGAGTTTTGAGAATAGAAACAGGCTACACTCTCTAGCAAATCCAGTGACTCCTGAGTGCACAAGATTTCATAAATGTGTCCACATGGTCCATTGCTTTTTGGCAGGGCAAATTAACCCTTAGTGAGCCCTGTACTGCAGCAGCTACACTGCTTTCAGCTGTACCTGAGCTCCTGCATTTAAAGATAACCCAACTGCAATCAGGTATCACATTCCTTGTGACTGACAGCATGGGCTGGGTTTTGTTTTTTTCAGCTTGCTTCAGTAGATTTCACAACAGTGAACTGTAACCATTATAACCACTTAGTTTGAATTGTCTTGTGACATTTTATCATGAGCCAGGCTAAACAAAGATGCTCCTCTCTTTCCACAGGTGGGTAGTCTCTCTAAAGAGGCAGCTCCTCTTTTGCCCCATGCCCCCCAGAATGAAGTATTTGTTCCCTTCATGCTAGCAACAACTCTTGAGGAAGAACCAGTATATAATCGAAAGTACCTTGGGTTTGTCAAGTACAGCAAGTAATCCCGTTTACTACTGGACAGTAAGCAGCACAACTCCAGAAGGATTTCTGTTATGGAACAACTGCATAAGCATATGAAGAATTACTGCTAGATTTTTGTTTTCAAACACATGACAGAATATGATTCAGCCCTGAATACTAACTATATTTAAAAAAAATGCATCACAGGAGTCTGTCATGCTGATTTTCAGCTCAAAGTGTTCTTACTCTATAAAGAGAGGCTTTAAAAAAACTGAAGCTTGCAGAATATGAAAAGGATTTTGTCTCTGGAACTGAGACATGACCAATCAGAATGGGCCTCAAGTTGTAGCAAGTTGTTAATAACCATATAACATAAAGACATTACTACAAATCATAATTTGATCTAATTCTGAATACAGATAGGAAGATTTAAAAGCATTTAGGAAATAAATTTGCTATTTTTTTACTGCATTCAGCTAAATTAACCTTATGAAGTGGTTTAATAAGTTACAGATCTATCAGAGACTACAGTGGAAATAATTTTTTTAAAGTGTTCCCATACACCACATATCAATGGAAATCCTCAAGCTCACTACAAGAGCTCTCACTGGAGCATAAGAAGCTATGCATATGAAGCTCAAAAAATAAAACCTATGGAGATTTAACTTTAAAATGCTCCATGGCCAGTATATTTGGTATCATAATTTTAAACATTTTTCAAAGTAAGTGTTAAAAATTGTTCAACCTCTTACTTTGTTTTACAGTCTCTACCTAATACTTCCATCTTCTTGACTTAGGCTGGTCACTGAAGGAAGCTGTGTGTCTGCCTCTAAAAAGATAATAAATGAGAAAACTCAACACCATTATAAATCCTTCAGGGCCAAGTACATATATTCTATAAAACACAAGAGGTGGTAAGCAGAGAGGAGATGTCACCTCACATAACATCATATGCCTTGAAATGAGGCATGAGCTGAACTGAAGTTCTCATCCCAGTCAGTGAAAAGACCAACCCCACCTCCAGAGGGAGACTGATACAATTTTTTTCAAATGCCTTTTCTAGAACAAGCTCTCAGTCTACAGATGTCCATTTTCCTCCAATACAGATGAATCTTATTCCAAGAATAAGACTATCCCATTTATAACATTCAAATTCAGAATGAGAAATATTACCAGCTTTGAATGATGTAGCAATAAAAATGCAAAGATTTGACACCATTATTTTTGATGCTGCTGCTAAATAAGATATCCAAGTTTGTACTAAAATTTACAAATTTCATGTAGTGGTTACCACATCATATCAATAGTCAAGTCTAATAGACAAAATGCAGATTATTCCACCTCACAAGATCTTGTGAAACTACTTTTAAAACCACTACAAGATGGAAGCCTTTCATTAGCTCCACTTCTTCTAACATCAGATTTCTGTAAAATCAAACTACAACACTGAACTATTTTTCATACAAATCCCGTTAAGTTAAAGCTATGAATGACCAAATAATATATAGCTCCCTTTTCTGAAAGTCTGAACCTCTCCATCCTCTTTTATTAACAGCTAACATGCAAGTAAGTTGTGTCACCTGCACACACATCTGGTTTTTTTACAGCTAGATACTGCACAAAATTTCATCTGAAAAACAGTTGAGGAAGACAATAGTCAAGGACTACTCTGGGGCAACTGAAATTTAAGACAGATTTATAAAGCAGTAAGAGGCAAAGAAAAAAAAAAAAAACAAAAAACCAAAACCAACCCACAAAAAACCCAACCCACAACATTCCCTGTTTAAAAAAAAAAAAAGGCACAAAACAGTCACCCAAGAAGCAGACACAGTCCTTGATTCACTCCGCCTGCTGTAACACAACAGTCACCAACAAAGCAATCAATGCACAAACTAAACCAAAAGCTAATCTGTCTTTCCCCCAATAGGGAGAACAAGGAAGATACAAATAATCAATATTTAAAGACACACATACATTAAAAACAAAGCTAAATGTGCCCTCTGATCTTATGAAAACTTGTCTATCCATTCATTAGAAGAAACCCAAACAACTAAACAACAAAGACTCACAAACAAATCAATATTAAAACATCTACTGATGTTTCTCCACTCACTACCAAAAAGGAAGGGAAAAAAATCTTATTAAAAAAAAAATCAACTGTTTTATCTGCTTCGTACATAAAAACCCAAGAGCCCCAGGTCTACTCAAAGTTAAGGATAATTTCAGCAACTGCCACAAAATACATCTTCTAACTCAAACTTCTCCTAACAAGCAAAACCATCTAAGCAGTAATAGATACTGGTCTTCTGCACAGGACTCATCTACATGAGGAATTAACTGTAGACATTTGATCCTTTTGCCAAAAATCTTCTGAATGTTCTTGTTCCAGAATTAAAGAGTACCTTGTTCCAATTTAGCTTAATACACTTAATCTATTTGGAGTGAGACAAATTACACCACAAGAGCTAGATGGAATTGAGATACTTAATTCTGTAATTGCAATCCAAGATCCAGTCACCTGGGTTTAGATTATAGCTTGTTTCATTGTTTGCATGGACAATTGTTCAGGAGTTTGAAGACACCTAGTCTTTCTAGACTGAAGACTTCCTAGTTTGAGAAAACAATCTCTTGAGTTCACCAAGTTAAGAACCAAAAAATTGCCACCCGTGTGCCTCAGTTCTTTAATGTCAATCTGACATACACACAGACTGCATCTAGTACGCTGAGGATTCAATTCCACAGCCTCCTGCTGGAACTGGCCACCGTGCAGCTGAGCACGGCAGTTTGGCCAGAAAGAACGCAGAAAGAAGAGACAAAAAGGTAGGCTGCCTCTGTAGCTTAATCGTCAGTGGACTTCAGGAAGATAGGGAATGTCCAGACTTTGGGTGAACCTGATTTCTAAAATTTGATTTATTGGGTAGCAGGAACCACAGGTAGCAGCTCAATACAAGCACACTTAAAGCAGACAGAAATTAAGAGGAGGTCCACCTCTCTCACACCCCCTCATGTTGCAAACCAGGACTCCACATACATGCTTTATTCTCTGCCCCTCAAAAATTAAGGCCCAGCCCTGTCCACTCACCTCAATTCCTGTTACATGATCAGAAGAAACTGCATATGGGGAGGTACCAGAACTGAAGGGTAAGCATCTCCACAGAGTTATGGATAGTGAGCAACTACTTGTATATGGGACTTCACCCAGTGGTTTGTATGATCACTTCCACAAAAAATTACTTCAAAATACCACCCACAAGCAGTTTCTTTGATAACCACCAAACTCTATCATACATAATAAACTTAGTTTATTTGACAGGAGTCAACACCCAAATATTTTGAGAAACTCGTTGATCACTAGAGCAGTATGTGCTAGGTACATATTTAAGAAGTATTGCTATAAAAGCAAGGAATCATCTCTCCTCTGGTTATGTACTGTTATGTGGAAACCCGGTGGAGATTCCACTGCATAAATTCAGAAAATTAGACCAGTGTTCTAGATGCATTTCACTGCAGCTTTGAATCAAGTACAGGTAGGAGTTCAAAAACTTATGTCTCCTTCCATACCAAATAAACTACAACACATCCAACACAGCACTTCAGATTAGGCACTACAATCTGGTAACCTAAATTTTTGTCATTAAGGTTCCTAGATTGTAAGCACTCAAATAAATTACTTGATCTAACCCAGATGTCATATAAATTCAATATAAAAAATTAAGTCAGGAATAAGTATGATGCCTTAAGTTTATAATTTGCCTTATTTCAGGCAAACTTTCTGTTGCAGGCTAGCCCTACAGAGCTGCTGTAATCCGCAAACTACCATTTCTGTTCCAGCAAAACTGTGTATTAATTTAGTTTGCATGCCCTCTATTCTAAATAAACTGAAGCTAAGAAAAGCAATTTATGTCAAGATTTATACTACCTGAAAAAGCAGTGAAAAAGGTTTACCACTTCAATAAAAGGACACTGTAAATTCATTTGGGTCAATGCAGAATATAATGGCAAGAGCTATTTTTGAGTAACAACTCTGCAGCTGCACTGACTTCACAATGACTGTCACAGTGAAAGTTATTCTACAAGTAGGCAAGCCCTAGAAATAGGATATTATTGTTCTCCATTTATGAAACTGAATCTAAATAGAAATTTTATAGACTAGGATCACCAAATGGAATTCTAACAACATTTCAACTTCTTATTTGAAAGTCGGGAGGACCCAGTATGTGTAAATACTAGGCAAGAGTTACATTTTTCCCTTAGTTTTGTATCTAAAAAATTCAAAATTCAAACATCTCCAATATTTTAGTTTTGATACCTAATAGCTATACTTAGATGTAATAATGGTCACGAAGTAGACTTCTTTAAACTTACAAGGCTTCTCTAAAAACTAGATTTTTACAAGTGGAGCAAGAGGCATTCTTTATAATATCTGATTATTCTAAGGCAAACAAACCTGTAAATGTTGTCCAAGACTTAATTGTACTGTTCCCTATGAGCTTTCTATGATACATTTTTATTTTTCATATAGACAATCTCAAGTTCCCTTCTAGACAGAAAGCAGTAGTTTACATATGCAACTCTAAAAAAAAAAATCTTGCTCTTTAGTTAATACCTTTTTCTGAGCCTTCCTATTTTGATGTAAATTAGTTACTACTACCACTTTAAGGGAAGAGAGAATGCCAAGAAACATCCAGTCAAAAAAATAACTTTTTTGCTTTTAAATATAGTAACATTTTTGTGTCTCACTTTGTGTTTCACTTTAGTATAAGCAAAGCAGTCCCGAATACTGCAGTACTACAACAGCAGTACCCCTGAGATTATCTAATTTTACCACCTCAGCATTACTTGAGGGAAGCCAGTAGAAATGCTATGCAAGTAAATTGTTGATTAGCTGAGTCATACTAACTCCTGATGTATCATGGCAACCAGAAGAACCTAAGATTTGCTTCATGTTACTGGTAACGAGCTACTGCTGAAACTATTCACATCTACATACCCTTTACACTTGCACCTGAGAGACACACGGTTATCAAGAAAGGAGATTACAATTGCACTTGTTTCAATTTAGTTATTTGGTATAGAATGAAGATTTGACTTCAAGATAACGTTTAAAAATAGTTACTGTTATAACACATGAATAAGCAGGACAAAAAGCATGTGTATATACACACACAGAGTTTTAGTAACTACTAGAAACAGGATTGATGTTTCTGCCATGCTGTTCCCTCTCCCCCAATGTCTAAACTAGGTTCTATGTTAACCTCATCTGTAAGAATGCCTAACAGTGGCAAACTACTTGCAATCTCATTTTCTACTCTCATCTTTCATTCATACTTATTTCTCAACATTCCAGGCTGTTGACTTCTTTACAATTGCATTACAAATACTTAGTAGATCAGTATTGAGCTAAAGGGCATAAAAATATGGTTTCCAGAAGTTTTACTATTAGCTTTTAGCTGTGAATCTCTTCTTTGGTCTTGTACTTAACTCTCAGTACTTTTGATTAAACACCAGCAGTTTTGTCAGGACTTCTAGACACTGTTGAAATATAATCTTTTCCTTATCTGTAAGTGGATTAGTTGGTCTGAGCTTACACTCATTAGTTGGTGTAAGCTTGCAGCACTGTGCCCTGCACATAGGAGGCACGCACTTGCACCAAACCCTGTCTTTCGTTATAGCATGCCTCCTTTCTAAACAAGGCTTTTGAGTATAGCTTCAGAAAATGCACGAACCATACACAGTCCTACAGTTTAAGTCTCCATACACTGCATTAAGTCAAGTTCTCTCACCTTACCCCACCATTATTCCAGATACGTAAGAGATGGCTGTAAACAAGGGCTGTCTTTGTGCATGCATCGAATAAAACTCCAAACTCCTAGAGGAAGCTAAATAGTTTGTTTCTATTTGGTCCCCAACGGTAAAGCCTTGGATTTGGAAAGTGAAGTAGTATCTGATCTACTTGCATCCACTAGTTTTCAATCAAACAGGAATTCACTGGTAGCCATCCCAAGTAAAACATGAGTATTTTTTCCTGTCTTCAAAGAGCCTTGAGGCATGTCAAAACTGACAGTCTCTCATCTGTCTCAGCTACCTATTTGGCATATAGCTTTGTGGTGTTTAAGAATTAGATTTTTTTAACAGCAAAACAGCAACTTTATTTCACCTATTTCTAGAGCATTTAAAAATAATAATAAAACATACAGAAAGGTTGGAAGAAAATCCCTCTCTGCTTATACTGTCGTTGTAAGGTTCTATGGCTAACCACATTTCTCACCTAGTGGAATTTTAGCACCGTGGAGTCCAAACATTTGACCGTTTCATGTTACATTGGTTTTCAGTTCTGGCGTATGCTTTAAGCTTCCCACTTCCTTCTTCAGAACATTAAGTAAAGTTCTAGAACTATCCAAAATCTTCATGTAAGCAGCTTCAGTTTCAGCAAGAATTTTTTCAAGCTCATTCCATGAAGCTACCTTTTGGGCCAGGTTTTCACATACACACTCCAGTTGTTCACTCAGGACTTGGATTTTATGCTGGAGTTTACTTTTTTCTTCTTCTGCTTGCTGGATTTGTTTGTTCAGCTCTTCTTTTTGCATACGTAAGTCTTCAATGCATTTCACTAGTTCATTATTGTAACCCTGAAGAACAGCTCCCTGCTGAGTCATCCTCTGCTCCCCTCCCTGAGCTCTGCCACTGCTCCCTGAAGTCCCCTCTCAGCAACAGCCTTCTGCACTCTAAAAAAAACACCAAAAAAGAGAAAAATTCTTTAAGAGAGTTGCCATAGCTGCCATGAATAATGATACACCAGCACAGACAGAGCCATGAGGAATGATGCTCTGTTTAAGGTTAAGATGCTAGTTCCGAGGTGTGCCACTTTTCTTCCCTTTTCAGGAAGGGGGCTGAACAAAATTCGGCATCTACACTGTACCTTTACTGCAAACTGGTCTCTCCTATGATACTCTCATGGCAATGCTCAACTCTAGTATCAAAATACTTCTATTTTACAGTATCTTAAGAGGGTTCTGAACAGATGATGCTTTGTACCTCAGACTTCGAGGGTTTGGTCAGAAATAACAGAATGACCCTTCCTCGGGAGAAGGCTCGGCAGTCTCCACCAGCAGCAGCAGCAGCGGAGGCACCCACTCGGCCCCTGGTGAAAGGGGATCTTCCTCTCCAACTGAGCGCCAGGCATCCACTTCACTGAGAGCCCGGAGCCACCTGAAACAGACCGATCTGGCTCTGCGAGCTACTCACGGCCGCCGGAATGACAACTGTGGGCGTGTGCCGAGACGCGGACGAGCCGTTTTCCCGCCGGAGGCCGCCGTCAGCGCCCCTCACCCTTCGCCCCCCACTCACACCACCCCCCC